GCCTGGGAGTCTAGGATACAGCAGGCTCTGGTAAATGCGTATTGTAAAGGTGGCAGGTAGAAAGGGCTTGGCTGTTGTTTTTCAAACAGATTATGCATATGCTGACATTATTAAAAACACACGCACATGTGTACATCACCATTGCCCCAGAAACCTCTCCAGCTGACTAGTGTCAAGCTACTGATTTATAAGATTGCTGCACATATTATATTTTAAAACACATATTGCTTTGTGAAATGTGTATTTATTACACATTTTGGAATTGATAATATTGCCAAAAAGCAGCCTCTCCTTGCTGGATCTGAGACAGTCTGTCATGTAAACACATTTCTGGAAGACTTCATACAAATGCTTTAGAGGGGCCAACCAGCTTCCATGGTCTCTCCCTCTCTCTCTCCACACACACACACACACGCCCTTCTCCTCCCCGACCATGTCACACCCATACAAATAAATAATAAAAACAGTAATGAACAACAGCCCAGAGGAAAGCTCTGTTAGGAATAAGTCTTATTTCAAAGCTGCACAAAACCCATCCAGCGAAGTAACCTTGTGAAAAGCAACACTTTATAACTCTACAGATTGGGCTGCCCCAAATTAGCGAGATGGCTCTGTGAGCCCCACCAAGTGTGTTCTTCAAATACCCTGAGCTGTGACTCCAAGTGCGAGAGTTGACAGGAAATCCAATTTGCGGTCAGTCTATAGAAAGAGTGTTCCAGACTCTGATCACCTTGGTACGGCCATGGTCAGTGTATGGCTGTGTGGTGTGTGGGCTGGGTAGGTATGTGGTCGTGTGCAGCTCTGGGTTAGTGTGTAGGTGTATGACTCTGTGGTGTGTGCTGCATGGCTGTGTGGGTCAGTGTGTGACTATGTGGGTGCTGGTGTGGACGTATGACTGTGTGGGTGTTGCTACACGGTGTGGTCAGTGTCTGTGTGGGCGGATGTTGCCTGTGTGGTCGTGTGACCGTGTGGGTCGGTGTGTGGCCATGTGGTTGGTGTGTGTGTGGTCGGTGTGTAGTCTGTGTTGTGTGTAGCTCTGTGGTTGTGTGTGGTGTATGACGTGTAGTGTGTGGCTGCACGCGTGTCAGTGTGACTGTGGGTCAGTGTGGACTGTGTGTCGGTGTGTGGCTGGGTGTTGGCTGGTTGGTGTGTTGCTGTGTCGTGTTGTGGGTTGGTGTTGGTGTCGGTGTGTGCTGTGTGGTTGGTGTGCTGGTGGGTTGTGTATCACCCTGTTAATGTGCATTCACACCCCACTCTGGCAGCTTAATCTTTTCCTCCCCAGCATCCACTGCATAATCAACTGGGGGCCTGCGCAGAACCTGCCAAGCTTATATAACGTTGGCTCAGGAGAGATTATCCTTCCTAGCACAGCACAGGCTGTACCTGCTCAGCTACGACTCTCCCACCTTTACACCCCTCACTACACTACACATACACACAAACATGCACGCACACACACAGGCGTGCGCACTGTGCGCATGAACACACACACACACACGAGTGCCAGGTGGAACTAGTTCTGGTTAGTGTTTGGAAGGGGAACTCCTTGGCCTCTGCCAAATATAGCAATCACCCCGAGATTTTCAGAGCCTCTGCCTCATTGTTTGATCTGGAAACCCCTTTCCTACTCTACAGGGGCCACAAGCACATTATAAATGCAATCTCACTTGGAGGCTTAAGTGCCAACCTGGGCTCAAACAGCCGTGTCATCTGAATGAGTAATTTACTCATTCATAAAATGGGGATGATATTAGCAGGATGACATCGTGAGGTTCCTCATTAAGATATCATTTTAAAATGAACCCCAGTCCTTGTCCAGTGGGAGAGGCATCAGACAGAATGTCTACTCCCGCCTCAGTCCGGATGGGATTAATCTCAGCCTGTTAGCCCTGCTAAGTCCAATCACACAAACCCTGCAGGAGAAAGAGGAGAGCATCTGCCATACAGTCAGGCTGCCACCCTGTTCACTTGCTTCTGTCCTTGCCCCTGTCCCTGAGCTCCAGACACACAGAACTCTTCATTGATCCCAGGACACACCCCCATTGCACATGCTGTGTCCTCCCTGGATTTCCCTTCCACCTATTCTCTGCCTAGAAAACTTATATTCATCCTTCAAAGCTGAGATCTAAAACCACCATTTATTGCAGCCTTCCATGCTCCCTCCTCTTCTCCCTCAGCCTCAAGCAGAGATAATTTCCTGGGTCATCATGGAATCTCATGGAAAGTTCTATTTGAACACTTCCCATACTTGCAACACCAGACGTGATGTGGCTCTTCCACCAGATTGTGAACCCCTTGAAGAGAACAGTTATGTTTATCTTTGATTCCCTAATACTCAACCCGGTGTCAAGCACGTAGTAGTAAACTTAATCCATGTTTGAATGAATTATTCTTTGTGTCCTCAAAGTTAACTCCACGACTGGGGCATACTAATTACCTAATGATTGTTTGTGGAAATTGTTATGAATCTATCTCTGCAGCCCCATAGCCTAGTAGAGTTGTTTGAATGAGTGAGCTGTGCCTCATTCTGGCCACTCACTATGTTTCCTGGACTGTAGTAGTGCCAAAAAAAAGTTTGCAGAATGTTCATTCCCCCAGCACCTGTTATAAAGTTTATCTAACTGTTGCAATTGACAACCCTCATGTTTCTCCTCAACTCAATCAGTGCAGTTTTACTTACCTGACGATGCAATGCAGGTTCAGGGCACCAGAGGATGGGGAGGGAAGGAGGCTCTGCTCCACTGGTTCATTCAAGAACCCAGGCTCCTGATGCTCTGCCAGTTTCAACAAGTGACCTTCCAGGTCATCCTTGGTGTGAAACCTAGCTGGAAGGTTTGTGGAAAAAGCAGGAACATTTTATGGCCAGGTCAGGAACTACCCCACATCACTTCTGCTCACATTCCTTTAACTAGATTCAGTCACTTTGGTCACACCTCACTGCAGGAAGGCTTGAAAATGTAGTTTAAACTGTGTGCTCAAGTAAAAGTGGAAATGGTTTGACGAGCAGTAGTAAGTCCAAAAAACTTATCAATCATCCACAAATATTTGATGAACAATATGATAATGAGTTTTTCTATACCTGGAAGCTACGTATAGGATGTTTGCACATAGCATATGCTCAATGAGTAGTTGAAATAATTCATCTCTGTATCGTCAAAAACCTTACATATTGTCTCATGTGGAGATGGTACTCAGTAAATAAATGGATGAAAAGAGAGAGGAGGGAGGAGAGGAAGGAAGGAAGGAGAAGGAGGAAAGAAGGAAAAGGAAGGATGGATTTAATAACAAAGAGTAGATAATGTAATAGATGAATGGACGGATGGATGCAAGAAATCAAGGATGGATGGGAGAAAAGAAGGAAGCAAAGATTTAGTAACAGATGAGTGAATGATGTATAGATGAATGGATGGGTGAAAGAAATCAAGGATGTGTGGGAGGAAAGAAGGAAGGAAGGAATGAACAAATGAAAGAAGGAGAAAAGGAAGGAAAATAGTAAGAAAATATTAATAATGGATGGATGGATAGATGGAATGATGAAAAAGGATGACGGAGAAAAGGAGATGAGAGGGAGGAAGGTGTATATATACGTACATACACACACATACACACATATATACATATACATAGTCTGTTAATATGTAACAAGAATTAGGAGTTAATATATATGCATACACACACACACATACACATACACACACACATAAGTATATGCTTGGGAAATTAAGTACTTGGGAAATGTTACCATCATAAACTAGGGCAATGGTCACCCCTGAGGTGTTCCTGTTAGCCCCAACTGCTCAGTCCCTGCTCCTGATCCCGTGCCCCACACCTTATTACACCCTACACAGGGACTTGACCACCTTCTAGCTTCCAAGTAGGAGTGAGCTTACCTCCAGTTTCCTGGGTGTGGTGGCTACAGCTTCAAGTGCGAGCCATGGAAAATGGGTGGGAAGACAGAGCAAGGTTTTAGATTCAAGGTCTACACTCTGCTTGAGTGATCAACATCATTTCCATACTATAATTACATTGCCCAATTCTCCCGATTGTACTGCTATCTTGTAGGCTGTCCTGGTTGGAAGTAATCTGAAACTATGAGACATTAGATTCTGTGAAACAATAACTTCCCAAAGAAATATGGTCCTAGACAGTAATTGATAAATCCCATTAAGCCTCTTATTTCCTATTTGGTCTCTTCTGAGATGACATTGTTGATTTGTGTAATGCAAACTTTGTCCCCCATATTGCCAAACGTGAAAGATTTGCCCAGCTTTGGAGGATAAGGGCTCAGGGAGTCTAAGTCAGGGAGCAGAAGGAAGACGCTGTTGAGTTATGATAGGTGGCTAGACCAGATATATCTTGACGGATTTTTCTCCATGGTCTGCATGATTATTCTGCTCCAGAGAACTCCTACAAGGACAGCTTACAACTACTGTGGTTTAAGTCAGAGGCCACAGGATCTGTTCTTGTGAAACTTGGTTAGCATAAAAGGAAAAGGGACGCATTGGCTCAGAGCTCAGAGGTGCTCCACAAGGGATGCCCCAGAACACTGCAGATGGTCCAGGAGGAGCACACATCTTTGCAAAGCACCCCTGACTCTCCAGTCCTGATATCCTCAGTCCCTGGCTTCTGTACCCTAAATCCAGAACTTTGCTGAGTTAGAGTGTGTTAAAATAATTGTGTTTATCTCATGCTCTTGTAAAATTTAGGACTTGTTTGCTTAGACATCCCCCGACCCAGCCAATTTCTTCCTTACCCTGTCTTTTCTGGGTCCAGGGATGAGAGACTAAAGACTTTTGTTAAAGAGGAAAGCAAGCTGAAGTGAAAAGGAAAGAGCACTAAACTAGGAGTCAGGCAATGAAATTACAATCCCTATCTTGTGGCAAAGTTGCTGAACTGCTTTGAGCAAGTCTCGTCCCCTTTCTGGCCTGGCCTGCAACTCCCCATCTTAAGATAAGGGATTAGTCTAGAACATTTTAAAATTAGCTGCCAATATTTAAAATCAAGAGATCCCACATAAAAGAGTTTTTTTTTTTTAGCTCCCATAAATTCTGATTGGAAACACCAGTCTCACACTCCCACTTGGCCTCAAACAGCTGAAACTGAGTGGTGGCTTCTTGCTTTAGGTGGGGTTTGCCCTTCAGGTTAACCACAATCCCCACTACTCTCTATTGCTTTAAACCTTGCTTCACTTGCTTATGTTATCAACTGGCTCTCGTAAGCTTATGTTTGTAATTTCTAGATATCTATTCCCACTCCAGCTTCATTAATTCAAAATAAACTCACTCTCACACAGAAGCCAAGTGTAAGAACCATCACCTATGACTGCTATTTGTCAACGCTAATTAGGCCTGCATGGCCCCAGTTCAGCACCCTGGACAAATTATTGAGCGCTATTAGAGGCAAGTGAGTCCTCCCATATCCCACCAAGTCCTGTCTAACGGGCAGCCACACCCTCGCCCAGACTGAGAATATGCTGATACCTGGTAGACTAAAACTTCATCTTGTTATTAGCACCAAAGCCTTGAATCCCTACTAAATCTGCCCTGCATTTGATTTCTTTGTAATTCTGCCATTCCTTGGGATCAGGATGGGGATGTGGGGGGATGAGGGTGAGATGGGTAATTCTTCTCTGTCAAGACATGTCTAAACTGCCTATCTTTTAGGTGCAACTGCTGCTTCCCAAAGGCCATCGTTCTTGTTGCTGTAAAGAATGATGGATGTGATACCATATTACCACTGTGCACTTTCATTTTCAGTGTCTGATTTTCCTCCCCCAAATTGCCAAGTGATCGAGAGGCTAGGGTTGCTTTTATGAGATGTGTCATAAGGCCTTCTTTATGAACAATGTGGCCAGGCAACGTGGATCAGAGATAAGGAAAAACTTTCAGGTACCTCCGAGTTGTTTCTTGCTGGTATCTTTTCGCAGGTTCCCTCCAAGGCGTCTCTCCAGGAGTCCATGGCTGCCAGGAGGATATCAGGTGGTTAATCTGCTTTCAACTCCTTACAATTACTGAGCCCACCAGTCAAAACCCACCACAATCTGGAACCCACTGAGGGCCCACTCTGTGGCAGGCACTGTGCTGAGGTCTAAGAGGTGAGAGATAAAAAGTATATCTCTGCTCTTGTGAAGCTTCTATTCCAGTGAGCAAGAGACAATTAAAACAAAGCTATGGTGTGGTGCAGTGGGTCACACCTGTAATCCCAGCACTTTTGGAGGCTGAGGCAGGTGGACCACTTGAGGTCAGGAGCTCAAGACCAACCTGGCCAACATAGAGAAACCCCGCCTCTACTAAAAATACAAAAATTAGGCCGAATAGGAACAGCTCCAGTCTACAGCTCCCAACATGAGTGATGCAGAAGACGGGTGATTTCTGCGTTTCCAACTGAGGTACCGGGTTCATCTCACTGGGGCTGGTTGGACAGTGGATGCAGCCCATGGAGTGTGAGCCGAAGCAGGGCAGGGCATCACCTCACCCGGGAAGGGCAAGGGTTTGGGAAATTCCCTTTCCTAGCCAAGGGAAACCGTGACAGACAGTACCTGGAAAATCAGGACACTCCCACCCTAATACTGAGCTTTCAATGATCTTAGCAAATGGCACACCAGGAGATTATATCCCACACCTGGCTCTGAGGGCCCCATGCCCATGGAGCCTCACTCACTGCTAGCACAGCAGCTTGAGATTGAACTGCAAGGTGACAGTGAGGCTGGGGGAGGGGCGTCCACCATTGCTGAAGCTCGAGTAGGTAAACAACATGGCTGGAAAGCTCAAACATGGTAGAGCCCACTGCTGCTCAAGGAGGCCTGCCTGCCTCCGTAGACTCCACTTCTGGGGGCAGGGCATAGCTGAACAAAAGGCAGCAGAAACTTCTGCAGACTTAAACATCCCTGACAGCTTTGAAGAGAGTAGGGGTTCTCCCACATGGAGTTTGAGATCTGAGAATGACAGACTGCCTCCTCAAGTGGGTTCCTGACTCCGAGTAGCCTAACTGGGAGACGTCTCCCAGTAGGGGCCGACTGACACCTCGTACAGCCAGGTGCCCCTCAGAGACGAAGCTTCCAGATGAAGGATCAGGCAGCAACTTTAGTCATTCTGCCATATTTGCTGTTTTGCAGCCTCCACTGGTGAAACCCAGGCAAACAGGGTCTGGAGTAGACCTCCAGCAAACTCAAACAGACCTGCAGCCGAGGGTCCTGACTGTTAGAAGGAAAACTAACAAATAAAAAGGACATCCACACCAAAACTCCATCTGTACGTCACTATCATCAAAGACCAAGGGTAGATAAAACCACAAAGATAGGGAGAAACCAGAGCAAAAGCTGAAAATTCTAAAAATCAGAGCACCTCTTCTTCTCCAAAGGAATGCAGCTCCTTGCCAGTGATGGAACAAAGTTGAACAGAGAATGACTTTGACAAGTTCAAAGTTCCCTTTGAAAGGGAAGCTCATCAGACTAACAGCGAATCTCTCAGCAGAGACTCTACAAGCCAGAAGAGAGGGTGGCTCAATAGTCAACATTCTTAAGAAAAGAATTTTCAACCCAGAATTTCATATCCAGCCAAACTAAGCTTCATAAGTGAAGGAGAAATAAAATCCTTTACAGACAAGCAAATACTGAGAGATTTTGTCACCACCAGGGTTGCCTTACAAGAGCTCCTGAAGGAAAGCACTAAACATGGAAAGGAACAACTGGTACCAGCCAGTGCAAAAACATGCCAAATTGTAAAGACCATTGATGCTAGGAAGAAACTGCATCAACTAACATGTAAAATAACCAGCTAACATCATAATTACAGGATCAAATTCACACATAAGAATATTAACCTTAAATGTTAATGGGCTAAATGCTCCAGTTAAAAGACACAGACTGGCAAATTGGATAAAGAGTCAAGACCCATCAGTGTGCTGTGTTCAGGAGACCCATCTCACATGCAGAGACACACATAGGCTAAAAATAAAGGGATGGAGGAAGATACACCAAACAAATGGAAGCAAAAAGAAAAAAAAAAAAAACAAACAGGGGTTGCAATGCTAGACTCTGATAAAACAGATTTTAAAGGAACAAAGATCAAAAGAGACAAAGAAGGCCATTACATAATGGCAAAGGGATCAATTCAACAAGAAGAGCTAACTGTCCTAAATACATACGCACCCCATACAGGAGCACCCAGATCCATAAAGGAAGTCCTTAGAGACCTACAAGGAGACTTAAACTCCAACACAACAATAATGGGAGATTTTAACACCCCACTGTCAACATAAAACAGATCAACGAGACAGAAAGTTAACAAGGATATCCAGTACTTGAACTCAGTTCTGCACCAAGCAGACCTAATAGACATATACAGAACTCTCCACCCCAAATCAACAGAATATACATTCGTCTCAGCACCACATCGCACTTATTCCAAAATTGACCACATAGTTGGAAGTAAGCACTCCTCAGCAAATGCAAAATAACAGAAATTATACAAACTGTCTCTTAGACCACAGTGCAATCAAATTAGAACTCAGGATTAAGAAACGCACTAAAAACTGTTCAACTACATGGAAACTGAACAACCTGCTCCTGAAGTACATAACTGGGTACATAACGAAATGAAGGCAGAAATAAAGATGTTCTTTGGGGCAAAAACTGGAAAAATTCCCTTTGAAAACTGGCACAAGACAGGGATGCTCTCTCTCACTACTCCTATTCAACATAGTGTTGGAAGTTCAGGCTAGGGCAATCAGGCAAGAGAGAAATAAAGGGTATTCAGTTAGGAAAAGAAGAAGTCAAATTGTCCCTCTTTGCAGATGACATGATTGTATATTTAGAAAACCCCATCTCTCAGCCAAAATCCTTAAGCTGATAAGCAACTTCAGCAAAGTCTCAGGATACAAAATTAATGTGCAAAAATCACAAGCATTCTTATACACCAGTAACAAACAAACAGAGAGCCAAATCATGAATGAACTTCCATTCACAATTGCTTCAAAGAGAATAAAATACCTAGGAATCCAACTTACAAGGGATGTAAAGGACCTCTTCAAGGAGAACTACAAACCACAGCTCAGTGAAATAAAAGAAGACACAAACAAATGGAAGAACATGCCATGCTCATGGATAGGAAGAATCAATATCGTGAAAATGGTCATACTGCCAAGGTTATTTATAGATTCAATGCCATCCCCATCAAGCTACCAATGACTTTCTTCACAGAATGGAAAAAACTGCTTTAAAGTTCATATGGAACCAAAAAAGAGCCCGCATTGCAAAGACAATCCTAAGTTAAAAGAACAAAGCTGGAGGCATCACGCTACCTGACTTCAAACTATACTACAAGGCTACAGTAACCAAAAGAGCATGGTACTGGTACCAAAACAGAGATATAGACCAATGGAACAGAATAGAATCCTCAGAAATAATACCACACATCTACAGCTATCTGATCTTTGACAAACCTGAGAGAAACAAGAAATGGGGAAAGGATTCCCTATTTAATAAATGGTGCTGGGAAAATTGGCTAGCCATAAGTAGAAAGCTGAAACTGGATCCTTTCCTTACTCTTATAAAATTAATTCAAATGGATTAAGACTTAAATGTTAGACAAAATCATAAAAACCCTAGAAGAAAACCTAGGTATACCATTCAGGACACAGGCATGGGCAATGACTTCATGTCTAAAACACCAAAAGCAATGGCAACAAAAGCCAAAATACAAATGGGATCATTAAACTAAAGAGCTTGTGCACAGCAAAAGAAGAAACTAGCATCAGAGTGAACAGGCAACTTACAGAATGGGAGAAATTTTTGCAATCTATCATCCAACAAATGGCTAATATCCAGAATCTACAAAGAACTTAAACAAATTTACAAGAAAAAATCAAACAACCCATCAAAAAGTGGGCAAAAGATATGAACAGACACTTCTCAAAAGAAGACATTTATGCAGCCAACAGACACATGAAAAAATGCTCATCATCACTGGCCATCAGAGAATTGCAAATCAAAACCACAGTGAGATACCACCTCACACCAGTCAGATGGTAAAATGTCAGGAAACAACAGTGCTGGAAAGGATGTGGAGAAATAGGAACACTTTTACACTGTTGGTGGGACTGTAAACTAGTTCAGCCATTATGGAAAACAGTATGGCGATTCCTCAAGGATCTAGAACTAGAAATACCATTTGACCCAGTCATCCCATTACTGGATATATACCCAAAGGATTATAAATCATGCTACTATAAAGACACATGCACACGTATGCTTATTGCGGGACTATTCACAATAGCAAAGACTTGGAACCAACCCAAATGCTCATCAATGACAGACTGGATTAAGAAAATGTGGCACATATACACCATGGAATACTATGCAGCCATAAAAAAGGATGAGTTCATGTCCTTTGTAGGGACATGGATGAAGCTGAGGACCATCATTCTGAGCAAACTATCACAAGGACAGAAAACAAAACACATGTTCTCACTCATAGGCGGGAACTGAACAATGAGAACACTTGGACACAGGGTGGGGAACATCACACACCAGGGCCTGTCGTTGGGTGGGGAGAGAGGGGAGGCATAGCATTAGGAGATATGTTAGGAGATATGTTACATTAGGAGATACCTAATGTAAATGACCAGTTAATGGGTGCAGCACAGCAACACGGCACATGTATACATATGTAACAAACCTGCACATTGTGCACATGTACCCTAGAACTTAAATTATAACAAAAAATAAATAAAAATAACAATACCAAAATTAGCTGGGCATGGTGGCACTCACCTATAACCCCAGCTACTCAGGAGGCTGAGGCAGGAGAATCACTTGAATCCGGGAGACAGAGGCTGCGGTGAGCCAAGAAAATGCCACTACACTCCAGCCTGGGTATAAATAAATAAAAAATAGATAAATAAATAAATAAAAGCTATCTACTAGCCAGCAGTGATAAGCACTGGGAAAAAACTATCTGAGTAAAGACAGGATGATGGTGATGGATATTGTAGGTTCGAGCCACCAGGGGAGACCTCTCCCTGAGGTGGCTTCTATGCAGACCCCTAGATGAAGCGGATGCTCAGGCTGTGAGGAAGAGCTGTCTGGGTGATGGGAACAAGTGCCAAAGTCTGGCAGCTACAACATGCTTGGAACATTTGAAGACCAGAAAGAGGGTCTTTGTAGCTACAGCAGAGTAAAGAGAGAAACTAAAGAAGACACTAAGGTCAGAGAACTGGTCCTCATTGTCCACTGCTCCATTGACCTTGGCTTTAAGTATTCGCCTGCAGTCTCCAGAGAAACAGGAAGAACAGGATATGTAGACAGAGATATTAAACCACACTTTAGAGATGGAGACAGAGATAGAGATGATAGAGATGGTGATGAAGATGGAGGTAGAGATGGAGATAAAGAGGTAGAAGTAGAGGTAGAGGTAGAGAGAGACATAGAAATAGAGAAATTAAAAAACACTTACTTTAATGTATCTGCTCATGAAATTGTGGGGCTGGCCAATTCCGACATCTTCAGGGCGGGTCAGCAGGCTGCAAGTGCTCAGGCGGGAGCTGATGATGCTGCAGTCTTGGGGAAGAATTTCTTCTTCCTCAGAGAAACCTCAATTCCACTCTTTAGGCCTTTTAACTGATCAAATGGGGCCTATTCAGTTTACTGAAGGTAATCTCCTTATCTTAAGTCAACTGATAGTAGATGTTAGCCCATCTACAAAATCCCTTGAGAGCAACACCTAGATGAGTGTTGGATTGAGTAACTGGGTGCTATAGCCTGGCCAGGTGGACACATACAACTCCCCACCACAGGCTCTTTGAGCTCCTGCCTTATTCTCCATCACATGCCTCTGCTTTTGGCATCCTCTCTGTGCATAGCTCCAAGTGCGTCTCCTACCATAATGACCAGTATGGGGTCTGGCCTAAGGATACAGTACAGATGTTATTGCTATTATTTTGTTAGTCACCTTAAATATTTTTAGAAGAGTGATGATATTTTTCAAAATAAAACGTATGATTTCCATGTCCCTATCTGGGTTCTGAGATGTTTAGATTTCAGCGAGAGGAGTTTGGCAGACTTGCCGCATCTCCTCCAATGCTACCAGAGCACTGATGGATGAAGGATTGCCCTGTGAACCTCTGACTCATCTGCTTGTTCTCTGAGCTTTTCCATAGAGCAGAAAGACAGCTCTAGACTGAGTCAGAGCCAGAGAGGGCTGTGGCATTATCCTTAAAGACACAGCATCCGTGAATGTGTCTCCACACCCCATCCCCAGCCTATATGCCTTTGGGGAGAAAGAGTGCTAAGCCCTCTCTATGAGGCTGCCCCAAGTCTTTCTAGGCAGGGCTCTCTCTGACTCCACTTCACCACATCAGGCATTTGCTGTTGAATTAATAATCCTAACCCCAGCTCTGGTCTTGACAGCCCTTGCTCAAAACTTCAGCTCTCTGTGGACTTCAGGAAGGAAGACCAACTCCACAGCATGGCTTTAGAAAGCCTCCATGATTGTCCCACCCAAAACTCCTGCAGCCTCCCCCCGGCTCCAGATTCTTACACATCCCTGAGGGTCAGGTGACACCTGTGTCCTCCAAGCTCCTGACATTCCCACCTCCCTCCCTCTGCTAAAACCCCTTCATCCACTGGAAGATGCTGCTTTCTTCATTTAAATATCCTTAAGAAAATTATATTCTGTTGCAAGAAAAAAGAAATAAAATGTATAGTATTACAAATGAGAATATCTGTCCAACAAATATCACCATTAGGAGAATGAGAGAGCGACCTACAGAATGGAGAACATATTAGCAATAATATCTTCAACCAAGAACTAATATCCAGAATATATAAAGAACACTTACTAACCAATAAGAAAAAGGAGAGTACCCAATCGGGAAAAAAACAGGCAAAAGACCTGAACAGGTACTGTACCAAAAGAAAGAGCAGGAAGGCCAGGTCAGAAGGCCAGAATGTTAGGAGGCAAAAGGCCAGGCCAGAAGGCTTGCCAAGAAGGCCAGAAGGCAGAAAGCCAGGAGGCCAGGCCAGAAGGAATAGGGCCAGAAAACAATAGGTCAGGCCAGAAGATCAGAATGCCTGAAGGCCAAACCAGAAGCCAGACGACCAGAAGATCAGTAAGCAGAAGGCCAGATGGCCAGAAGGCAGAAGAGCAGGACAGAATGCCAGAAAGCAGAAGGCCAAGCCAGAAAGCAAGAGGGCAGAAGGCCAGGCCACATGACCAGAAGGCCAGAAGACAGTAGGCCAGAAGGCCAGAAAACAGAAGGCAAGGCAAGAAAGCATAAAGTCAGGCCAGAGGACAGAACACCGAACAAAAGAAGACCCGGAGTTCCAGAAAGTCAGGAGGCCAGAAGACAGAAGGCCAGAAGGAAGGACAGGCCAGAGAGCCAGAAAGCCAGAGCCAAGAAGACAGAAGGTCAGGAGGTCAAAGTCAGAAGGCCAGGCCAAATGGGCAGAAGGCCCGAATGCAGGAGGCCAGGTCAGAAAGCCAAAAGGTAAACAATAAGAAGGCACGGGACCAGGGAATAAGGCAGAAGGCCAGGACACAAGGCCAGAAGGCAGCAGGTCAGATGCCCAGAAAGCAGAAGGCCAGGCCAGATGGCAGAAGACCAGAAGAAAGAAGGCCAGGCCAGAGAGCCAGAAAGGCAAAGGCAAGAAGATAGAATTCCAGAAGACAAAAGTCAGAAGGCCAGAAGGCAGAAGGCCAGGCCAGAGAAACAGGCCAGAAGGCAGGAGGCCAGAAGACCAGCAAGCAGAGGCCAAGCAAGCAGAGGAAGGAAGGAAGAAAGTGAGAAGGCCAAAGGCCCGGCCAGACAGCCGGAAGGCAGATGGCAAGATGGCCAGAGGCAGAAGACCGGGGAGGAAGGCCAGGAGGTAAATAGGAAGCAGGTCACAAGGCCAGAAAACAGAAAGCCAGGCAAGAAGGGCGAAAGCCAGGCCAGAAAACAACACACTGAAAGGAAGAAGGCCAAGCTGCAGTGCCAGAAAGCCTGAAGCCAGAAGAAGGACAGAGGAACGAAAGGTTGCAGGCCAGAAGGCCAGAAAACAGAGCACTGGGTCAGAAAACAGGAGGCCAGAAAACAGCATGCCAGATGACCAGAAAGCAAAAGGCAAGGCAAGAAGCAGAACAGGAGGAGGAAGCCAGGCGAGAGCACCATTAAGCCAAAGTCCAAAAGGAAGAAGGCAGGCGGCCAGGAGGCAGAAGGACAGGCCAGATGGCCAGAAAGCAGAAGAAGGCCAAAGCCAAAAGAAAGCCAAAGCCAGAAGGCCAGAAGGCAAAAGGCCAGGCCACATGAGCAGAACGACAGAAGCCAGAAGGCCAGAGGCCAGGCCAGAGAGAAGAGGGCCAGAAAACAAGACTAGGCAAGAAGGCAGGAATGCCAGAAGGCAGAGGGCTGGAAGGCCAACAAGCAGAAGGCCAGGCAAGAAGGCAAAAGCCGAGGCCGAGTGGCCAGAGGTCAGCAGGCTGAAAGCTAGGAGGCCAGAAAGGCGATAAGAAGGCGGCCAGTCCAGAAGACCAAAAGTCCGAGAGCCAGAAATCCAAAAGGGAGAAAGCCAGGAAAAAAAAAAAAAAGAAAGAAAACAAACAAAAAGGCTAAATAGGCAAAAGGCCAAAGGCCAGGAGGCAGAAAGTCAGAAGGTAAGAAGGCAGAAGACCAAGCCAAAAGGCCAGAACCTATAAGGGGTAAGAAAGCGGAAGACCAGGAGAGAAGACAGAGGCCGGAATGGCAGATGGCAGAAAGCCATGCTAGAAGACAGAATGCCAGGCCAGACGGCCAGAAGACAGAAAGCCACAAGGCCAGGTCAGAGGGAAGAAAAGGAAAGGCCATGCCAGAAGGCCAGAAGGTAGAAAGCTAGAAGACCAGCAAGCAGAAGGGCAGAAAGGAAACAAGAAGGTGAGCGGGCTGGAGGCATGGCCACATAGCCAGAAGGCAAAATATCAGGCCAGAAGGCAGAAGGTCAGGGAAGAATGTCAGAAGGTCAGTGGGCAGCAGGCCAGAAGGCCAGAAAACAGAACACCAGGAAAGAATGCAGAAGGCCAGGGAAGAAGGCCAGAAGAAAGTAGACAAGGGAAGAAAGCCAGAAAACAGAAAATGAGGCAAGAAGGCAGAAGGTCAGACCACAAGAGAGAACACCAACAGGAAGAAGGCCAAGCCAGAGTGCCAGAAAGCCAGAAGGCCAGAAGGTTAGAAGGAGGAAGACCAGAAGAAAGAAAAACAGAAGGCCGAAAGCCAAGCCAAATGAGCAGAAGGCCAGAGGCCAGGCCAGAGAGATGGAGGCCAGAAAACAAAAGACCAGGCCATAAGGCAAGAATGCCAAAAGTCAGAATGCCAAGCCAGAAGACAGAACACTGAAAGAAAGACAGATGGCCACGCCGGAGCACCAAGAAGCAGAAGGCCAGAAGGCCAGAAGACCAGCAAGCAGAAGGCCAGGAAGGAAGCAAGAAGGTGAGATGGCCAAAGGCCTGGTCAGACTTCCAGAGGGCAGAAGACCAAGACAGAACACAAGATGGCAAAAGGCCAGACCAGAAGGCCGGAGGGTAGAAGGCCAGGTCACGTGGCCAGAAGGCCAGCAGGCAGAAAGCCAGGGAAGAAGGCCAGAAGCAAAAAGACCAGGGAAGAAATCCAGAAGGCCAAGACAGAAGGTCAGAAGGTCAGAAGACAGCAGGTCAGAGGCCAGAAAACAAAAGACAAGTCAAGAAGGCAAAAGGCTAGGCCAGATGGGCAGAAGACCAGAAGGCAGAAGGCCAGAGGCCAGGCCAGAGAGAAGAGGGCCAGAAAAACATAAGGCCAGTCCAAAAGGCCAGAATTCCTGAAGGCAGA